TTTCCTCTTAGACCTTTGGCATGGATGAAAAGCAACCAACAGTCACTCAAGAAACAAGCATGGCTGTGGCTGCTTCCGCAAATCAGGCTTCCGCCCCATCAGTCTCCTCACTTTTTGCTCTGTCGTTTATGACAGACAGTCAACAGGCACAGGAACCAATCCTCTGTAAGCTTTTCCACTCGACTTGTCTACAACGCATCAGTCTAGCAAACCCCAGTGGAAGAACAGCAAGCATTATTTCTGTGCTTTCAAGCCCTTTCAAGAAGCACTGCTTGGGCTCTTTTCCCCCCTGTTTGCCTCCGGCTACGAGATTGGGCTGAGAGGAAGAGGGCCCTTTAATTGCATCAACCCCCGTTCAAAAGGCTGATTTAGAACACTTAATTTCAAGCAAACGTCGCAGTTGTAGGGTCCCATTTCCATACACAACGTGGCTGAAATAAGGCGGCTACAGAAGAGAAGGTTCTCCACAAAGAAGCTCAATAATTGCTTTCCCTTCTGCACTGTTCACTCCATTCTTATAGAGGAACACAATATTTAAGCATCAATAATTAAGAGAAACTACCGAATGCAGGATCGGTGAGAAAAATGGGTGATGTTGTGACAGTTCTCTGATCTGCAAAGATGCTGGAGTAACCAAGACTCAGGAGAAGCCCCACCCCCGCCCCGTCCACCACTACGTTACTGCTTGCCTTGCCTCCCACTAGTGGGGAAAAAGTTCCCCTAGAAATAAGACTCAGGACTAGTTTTCAAAATAATAAGCTCTCCTAGCAATCTTTGAAGTTTCTGTTTTGAAGTCTCCTTCCATCTTCTCTACCACCCACTGGCCAAGAAGATGCCAAACCCTTAAAGGTCCAATTCTCATTAGTTCCTTTATCTCTGATTGTTTTCCCCACAGATAAACTATTAATATAATTTTTTTAACAAAGTAAAAAGGATTAGGAAATCGACAGAGCCCTTTCATCAGCTGCTTTAGGATGAAACAGTCTCTTCTGTCACAGAGAAAGCAGCCTCTCTGTGAAGCTCGTTCCTCCTTACCTCTCTCTCTCTCCTTTAAATGAAATAGATTAAATCTTCTCCTCATCCTAATTTACTAGAACTAGACAGTGATCAGTATTATATTGGATATTCTTACTTTTAAAAACTCAGATGTAAAGGTGTTTGGGTTTTGTTCATGGGGGAACTTGAAATGGTTTATATAGCTAATGAAAAGTGCACATTAAAGTGAGCGAGCAGATGTGTAAATAAGATAACAAGAAAATATGCAGTCTTAAAATCCCCACAGCTATTTTCCTCGATGAATTGCTATTTGGTTCTCTGAATTATATGACATTGATTATTTTTAACATTATTTTGATTGACAAATAAATACCCTAACAATATGAAATTAGATTTTCTTTTTCAATGGACTCCTAAGGCCATATGGTATTACAGAAGCAAAATGAAACAGAGTGAAAGAGCTACTTCCCTTAGCACAGATATTGCCAAAGCAATACCTTTAAGCAGGACACTATGAACTGTTTAGTTTTTCTCTAGTTAGTCCTTTCAATTTTATTTTAAGAATATAGGCAGAAACCAGTTTTCCTTCTGTCTGCTGCTCTCCAGAGAACCACAGCAAATGGAATTGAGGACCACTGCCCAAAACAAACAACACTACCATAGTTTCTTTATCACATCTGTCATTGACATTTTTCTTAGCAAAAGTTTTAAAAAAATTATGACATATAAATTATTTTATGCTTAATATGTATGGACCCATATATTAAGATTCAGGTCTCATTTATAGTAACTGTTTGACATATATAAAAAAAAGAAAGAAATTAGTTTTGCAGCTGTGCCTGGAGGCATTGGTCATGAGAACATACTGTGGCTTTCCTAGGAAGCTATAGGGCAAACTTCCAAGTATCCTCAACTTGAGCTTCTAATTCCTATGGCTTCCTGACAGATCAATGAACGGCAGCGTTATTCAAACTTTAGGGTTATTAGTTCTCGAATTTGGGTCTCTGGAGGCCCAGCCATTACCCTTCAGATTTTAAAAATACACCCAGGCTCATCCACATAGGACTTAACTAATAGAATTTTGTAGTCTCTAATCATCCTTGTTTAATTAACTTGATCTGATGTTAGCCTCTCAAAAATATGAAAGTGAGAAGAGTGTCACTTTATAGAGCTCACCTCTGTGACACAGGGTTTTGAACACTGGAGTTGGTGAAACATTTCCTCCTAATTCAGTTTCCCCTGACTACTTATCTTGAGGAATTTTATTATCCTTTGGGAGGCCTGCATTCAGTGAATTTTAGGTCAGATTTTCGTGTTCTCCATTGGCACAGCTTTATGTAAAAAATATCAGGTTTGTGAACTTCATGTTGCGCTTCTGCAGTAGGTAGAATAATGGCCCTCAAAGATGCTGATGCCCTAAACTGTGGAGTCTGTGAATACACTATGTTGACTAGGTAATGACCATGCAAGTGGCTAAGGTTAAAGATGTCAACATGGTTAGGCTGTCCTGGGTTATACCAGTGGACCCAAGTTAGGAGACATCACACATCTTTCAAAAAAGAAAGCTATTTTTTTTTTCTTGGCTACAGAGAACCAGAAATATAACAGAGTGAAGATCTGTCCTCTCTTGATTGCTTTGACAATGGGAAAAGGAGACTATGACCCTGCAAAACCCTTCGAGGCTGCAAGGGTATGGAACTTGAATTCTTCCTCAGAGCTTCCTGGAAGAAAATTTCCTCATTCCTGTTGACTTGTAACCAGCAGAACTATAAGATGAGACATGTATGTCCTGTAAGCAGTAACTCCTGTAGTAATTGGTTAGAGCCAACGACAGGAAGCTAATAGAGCATCTCAGTCATGCTACATAGATCATGTCTTTTCAGGGGAGGGTTAAAAGCTGACTAGAGGAAAATGGTCCTGTTTTATCCTGGGATTCATATGTTCATGAAAACAGATGGTGTCATACAAAACCTAGAACCTAGGTTTTAAGTTTGGGACATAGTATCATAGAAGATGCTTCTCTGATGCCTCCCTACTTGAGCTTCTGGTCTTTTCTGGATGTTTATTTACACATCTGTTTTCTCCACTCAATGTCCTTAAATTTTTTTAGATTTTCTTCCATTTATCTGTCTAGTGAGAGCAGACTTAGTCATCTTTCTGCTATGTCTCATGTTGTGTCTCACTTACCTCAAGCTGTCAAGTCTACAGACTTGGCATCTCCATGCTTCAGCACGAACAAATGTAACCATTAAACTTAAAACTTTCATTATGACAGAAAAATAGACGAGAAGCTCTCCTAAAGCAATGTTAAAGATCACTCTTCCTGAATACTGCAGAACTGCTTCTAACTCAAACAGGAAGAAGGCCGGACTCCTCAACTGTATTCTCCCCAGAATATAACTAGCACGGTCAAGCTGGCAAAAAATTATTTTCATGGATACTTTTGAAGTTGAAACTGAATGTATATTTTAAACGGTGAATTCATTTAACCAATGAATTAGGTTGTATTGCCGCAAACATGAGCACAAAAATAAGATATAATTTAGCATGAAGCATATTAGTTTTATTTCAAACACAAGCATTATGAGTGTATTTCAGTAAGAGTTTTTATATGCATGGTACCAGTTTAAATTGAGTCAATTTCTTCAACATTTACCCTACTGTAATCTAGATAAAGTCTTATAATTTGCTTCTACATTTTAGAAATGATTTCTAACAGCAATTAATGAGTAACTTATCGAACACAAGGGCAAGTATAATTTAAGACGGTTTTAATATAGTTTCAAGACTGGGGAAAATTCAAAGAACAAACACGATACTTATGACACATCCTTCTGTTCCTAGGAGCTACATGTAACTTCCAGTACGGCTTTATACTCTTACAACTGTTATTTCTTACTGACTCTATAGAAAACTACATGTAGCATTAATGATCCACCAACATAATTTTCCAGAAACAAATCAGTTAGTAGAGTGTATTCCAACATATTCTAAAAATACAAGACTCTAGGAATAAACAGTCTAAACTACCTGTTGTGGCTCTCAACAAAGCCATGTGCCTGCCTTCTGTACAGAACAAAGGTGCAGCTTCCTGAAGAGATGGGTAGAGTTTCTGTAAAAGCCATTCTCAAGCCCCTGTCCTCGTGCAAAACTATTTAGTAACAGAAATCACCTACTACTCTCCTTAAAACCTTAAGGAGAATCCTTAAGATGTGCTGAAACTGGGGATCCAGGGAAAAAATCGTGGGCAGAACGCTCGGTGTGGTGACTGAGAAGAGTGTTCTGTGGGTTTCTTGATGAGGCAGTCTAGAGGAGAAAAGCTGAAACAGGAAACTAACTTCCAGAAGGAACTATTCGCTCATAGCTCTCAACCTGACAGTAAGAGACTGCACAATACTCTTCTCAGAGATGTGAAGACAGATGCTTACCCTCAAGAAGGGATGCATATTTAAGTATTTCATCAAGCACCACAATATTAGAAATATACAGAAGTAGGATATAAGTATGAAATTGTGACTGTCAGCAGACACGGAACTTCACAGCACAAATAAATCTGTATTCTTCCAACAATATCTTCCCATGTTTTGTTATTATCACTTAATCTGGATAAAATATCAGTAAAAATATGTAATTTATATACTTTCTAAGAGCCTTAGATACCCTGCAACACCTGTAAAAATATTTTAAGTTTTTTCGTATAATGCAAATAGTTTAAAAATGAAAGCTCTAGTGTGCATACTGGGTTTGCTTATGAGGGGAAGTAGCAGGCATTACATTGTGTTTTCAAAGTGATTTTAATAAGCCCACCCCACATGGGCACACATGCATGCACACATACACAACAGTTTACATGCAAGCTATAAATCTGTTGTCAGTGATTGGCTGAAATTTCCCTATATATTATGTTTTAGTTAGAAGTATATTTTAGAGCACAAAAAAACCTAAAGCAAAATAATAGAGGCATTTGGTAATTCTTATAATACTATATGAAACAAAGCACTTACCTTCCATTGCTAATCGCACTGGCAGGAGAGCAACAGGAGAGGGGCTTTATTGTGGGATGAATCATCCCCATGATGCTCTGAGCAACCCATGTATGCATACTGACATCATCAGGAGAGACTTGGAGGCAGAGGATACTATGGTAACGGAGCAATGTGCTGGGAGACAGACGCCTTTAATTGCTTTAACAACTTCCTGGAGCTCAAGCTACCAGGCTTGGATTTGCTAAGTAGGAAAGGAAGGCTGTCACAGAGGCAGCAACTGTGACGCAGAGCAAAAGAACTCAGTGGATTCTGGAATTACTAATTTCAGCGTGACTTCTTAATGGCAAATGTCATTATATGGTTCCACTGGCAACATCCTTTTCACATGCAGAGCTCCGAGGAAGGCACAGGTCAATACACAATGCTCTGAGGTAACTCGAGTCTAAGTTCATATATAATTGTCTCGCTTAACAAACATTAATATTATTGCATTGCGAATATCCTTTTTCTTGGGACTGAATGCTTGATTCACTTTGAAAAGAAAGCCCACATCTGTGCCTTAGGATGTCTGCCTGCTGATAACAATGACAACTGATTCTCTCTATTTATTTCTCTGGAAGGTGGCAGCTGTGGGTCCATTTATCTCTGAGCTCCACTAAATCCTTGCAAACAGGTCACTTATGCAGAAAACCCCTCCAGGGAAATGGCTAGTTATTACACCCTGAGAAAATTAGTCAGGAAACCAGGACTTGATGCTACAGTGTTCTTGGTGAAGGCTCCTGTGTCAAAGGCAGAATAACATCTATTGTAATGATGTCCTCCGCTGGAAAACCACACAAAACGTAAAGCTTTCCTTTGAACTCTTTGTTCTTCCTTGCCTCTGCCACCCATGTTGAAGAGAACACAAGCCCCTTTAACCATACCAGGTTTAGAGTAATTGCTGAAAATAACCATGTTCCAGCATCAAACTGAGTCTATAATGATATCCTCTGCTTATCTGATCAGTTGCAACACTTTAATAAGTATATAATTTATCATCTGTGGTATGAAAACTATTGTTTTATTTCCAGTGAATATTTGATTGACATGTTTTTCAACAATACCAGGATCTAATTTTTATTGTAAGTACTGCAATTGTAAGGACAAGCAAGTAAGTTGGCAGGTCTTCCTTAAGACAGTCACAGCACAATAAAAACTGAAGGTTGTCACTCCGTACTATATACTTAGAACTCAGCTTTTTCAAAGACACTATTATTATCTCTATTCCAATTTAGATGATGCCAAGCCTGCCTTTTAATGTTTTCCTTGAAAGTAAATAGCTTACAAATGTCTAACTACACCATGGCTTCAAAAAGAGTAAATGGAATAGAACAGTGCCAATTTCCAACCTGAAAAAAATATAAAGAGATTTTTTTTTTAAATCCTAATTGACAAGTTGGGAGTTTTCACTCCTGTAGAGTGTGGGAAAGACCGAGAACAGAATAGTAACATGTAGTCTCAGGAAAACACAGCATGCCCTTAAGTCACCTAACGAGAGAACTTTCCAATCAAGCTTCCATTCTTTCATTTGTTTCATTTCACCTGCTGAGATCCTGTTTGAAAAGCAAGACAGGCCAAGCGCAGCAAGATGGAGGTAGGTAAGCATGAGTATTACTAAGAGCCAGAGAGATGGCTGGTCAGTTTGTTGCTTGATACTGAGGTCTGACTGCGTTTATAAAAAGATAAAGAGAGAGGGGATATGTTCTATGGAGGTGTAGTCAGGTATGGGAGAAGGAGGTGCCTCAGTGGACCCATGCTGAGGTGTCCCTTTCCCCTGAGGGACCAGCCACATGATGGTATAGTATAGAGTTTATTCAGGGCATGGGGTAGGGAGTTAAGAGGGTAGTAGAGGCAGAGAAAAGCAGATGGGGGGGTGGGAAAGGGAAGGGAAGGGAAGGGAAGGGAAGGGAAGGGAAGGGAAGGGAAGGGAAGGGAAGGGAAGGGAAGGGAAGGGAAGGGGAGTAGAGGCTGGCCATGAGCATGTGGTGAGAGAGGGAAGAAGGGACAAGAGGATAGAGCAAGAGGGAGCAGGAGAGAGAGGAGGGGGCAAGCAGCTCCTTTTATAGTGGGATGGCCTATCCGACTGTTGCCAGGTAACGGTGAGGCAGAGCTTAGACAGTATTCTAACACTGACAACCTGAACATGATCCCCAGGACTCTTTTGGTGAAAGGAGAGAAACAACTCTTGAAAACTGTTCTCTTGCTTCTACATGCATGCCATAGCACATGGACACATGTGCTCGTGTATGCACACACCACACACACTAAATGAAAAAAAATATTGCTCTATACATATGGTATGATTTTTTTTAAAGCAACGTTTGTTGGGTGGAGGATATAGCTGATAGGTAGAAAGCTTGCTTAGCATGCATGAGGGCCTCTGAGTTCCATCCCTTGTGCTCATAATTGTGTGTGCCAGCTCACCCCTGTAATCCCAAAAATCAGGAGGTAAAGGCAGGAGGCTCAGTAGTTCAAGGTCATTGAGGCTAGCCTGACCTTTATAAAATCATATCTCAAACTACTTCTGATTATATGACTATGCACTGAAAAGGTATGTCGAAGACATACCACATACACATGTTAGGAGTGTCATTGGGCAATTTAAACTACAGATTATTTTTGAGGGAGGGTCCTTCAATCTTTGTATGATTCTCTATTTTAAAGAAGATTTAACCATGAATTATTACACTAATTCAACAAGCAGAAATCCACCTATGTATGCTCTGTAGCAGGCACCCTGGCTACCTGAAGACACAGAGGGCTCATCACAGCTTCTGTGGGCCATGCTCTACACTAACCACAGGAGTTCAAGAATGCTTCAAACAATTCTTTCAAAAAGATATCCTGTCTGGCTGAATGGAGCTAGGAAGTCAAAGTGAATTAAGGTTATCAAGGAAACAGACACATCAAAGGGAGAGGGTGCACTGACCTTTCCAGAGATTCGAGTCAAAGAGGAAAAACAATCCATCAATAAAGCTAGTTTGTTAGATTTATTTTTAAAGGACAATCACAGGAAGAGTATAACCACACATCACGCAAAACCACGAGATCTCTAACACTATAAAGCGCTAACGAAAATACAGAAGATTGCCAGGAGAAATAAATCCTGCCAGAGGCCCTAGGTGGCCAGATTATGTGGTCTGCCAAAGATGTTTCTTTGGAGAAAAAGACATAACTTCTCTAACTCCTACCCACAGTCCATCCTGAGATAGCTTTTATTCTCCTGTAATTAATTTTTAAAAACAGCTAAACTTAGTATAACCTACTCAATATGCTTGTTCATTTTTGCGCCTCCATTAATTTTCTTCTCCCAACAGTGCAATGTCACTGACTTCTTACAGATCATAAATTCTTCAGTTGATACCTTTATATAAAAAACACTACCACCTGTCTGTCGTTGTGCTGATTCCTAAGAGCTGCAACTGGTGAAGGACACGCCCACATTAGACCACCCACAGGAGCACAGGGTCCAAAGATTTGAAGCACAGCTGGGAGAAAAGACAAATCTACCCAGTAACAGACTACACTCTCCTGTGGTCTGGCAGGTTCCAGCTGGATGCTGTATATCTTGTATCTGTCCTAAATTTAGAAAAACAATACACTTATTCTTTGAGCATCCAAAAGTTTCACTGGTACTCAAGCTGAAATAAATCAAAATGTAAAGTGAAAATCATTATTCTTTTACAATACAAGTGTATTTCTCAAACCTATGTCTAGCCTCCAGTAAATACCTTAACCTTTAAACTGAAGTTAGGGAACCCACAAGGCCCTCGGCCTGACTTGTATATTATTCTGATGTGAGCTCAAGCTGGTGAACAAAAAAGGCAAAGGGAAGTTGGAGACCAGACGGGTGTTTGAACCAACTTCTAAGGTCAGAGCAGCCATCTCCAGTGGCCACTGAGCTCTCCCCCATCCACATCTCTGAGGATAGGACAAAGCACGCTTAATGCACTTACACCGCACTGCCTCCTCACCCACAGGAGCAGTACTCTTGGCTCCTCCGCTCTTGGTCAAATGTTTATCTAACTCCAAATCAGCACAGTCCATGGAAGTGCAAGGGGCCTTATGATCAACATTTGGGATTTGGGATTTTACACAGTCAGAGAGACTTCTCTTGTAATGAACTATAGAAATGATCTCTGAAAGTAGAGTCTTGGAATTTGGGATTTTAATTAAAAATAATCCACACGGAGCTAACGAAAAAGTAGGAAAGGCTATACCTGACATCATATGGAAAGCCAGATTCTAGCCAAATTTAGTGACCTGTACCCTGACACCTCTCTATCTGACATCTTATAACTCTCTAGTGCCATTACTGACTGCTTTCTTCAGTGTAACCTACTTCTGGTCATTCCAGATCATTACTTTGTCCTTGGCAAGTCTAACTATCTTGTCCAGTTTACCACTGGTCAGGATTCTAAACTCCAAGATTCTAAGACTCTGCCAGTCTTACCTCCAAGCACCTCAGATAATAGCCCACTAGACAATCCAACACACTAATACAAGACACTAATAACCCTGTGCTTTCTCTGCTCTAGAAATGGATGCCACATCGTTCTCTGGAAAGTGTGTATCAACTTCTCACCCCACCTTGTTACCACACTGCTCTCATCTCTTACCATCAACCAAACCTTACCAACCCACCAAGACTGACCTCACCTCCCCCACCAGAAATCTGCATCTCAAAATCTCCAACGTTCTTTCTCTCTAACTGCCCTGAAGACATTCTTTTGTGGGTTTAGGACTGTCGCTTACTGGTAGAGTCTGCACTTGACAAGTGTGCCATCCCTCCTCAGCAAGTAATAGAAGAAAAAAACATGATACACAGTTACTGCAATTTTCCTACTTCCTCTAAGCTTCTGAAAAAGCAGAGACTATACCTTCTTCCCAGTCCTCCAGAGACCATACCTTCTTACCAGTCCTCCAGAGACTATACCTGCTTCCCAGTCCTCCGGAGACCGTACCTGCTTCCCAGTCCTCCAGAAAAGTAAGCTCCTGCTCACCATTCACTCAGACAACAGTGAATGAACACAAACTTCTGAATCCTGCTTTCAGTTTTGCAAGGTA